TGTATCTCCCTTTTATAAACAAAGGCTCCCCCCTCCAAAGGCCAAGTCCTAATTGAATGGGAAGGAGCAGCACCAATAGCCTACATCTTGTAGGCTGAGAAAAGGGCCAGGGAGTGACCACAGCCCTGTCCTTGCTCGAGGATGGGCCAGAGGGATGAAACGTCTTTCCTGTGGCCACTCAGTCCTTAAATCCTTGAATACTGCAGAGAATACGTTTCTGGTGCCCCGGTAATGTGATTCCCATCTGCGTCAGGTCCCTATGGAAGAGAGAAGGCAGGCCTTGAATCTAGAGTCTTAGACCTCAGCCCCCCTCCCATGCCGGGCTGCCTGGCCCCAGAGTCCTCACTCAGCTGTCAGCTCCAGCACACACTCCATGGTGTCCAGCCCAGCCGAGTGGAAGTTGAGGATGTAGCGTTTCATTCGTATGGACTCGAGCCACTCAGAGACGCTTCGGTAAGGGATCCCATCAGAGCCACTGAGGCTGGGCAGGCGGAGGGTCACCCTGTGGGATTCGATGCCACGTTTGTCCCCCTGGAGTACAGGAGCTGGTTGGCTGGCCTGGGCCATCACATTGTAGCCAGCACTGAATCTGAGGCTTGCATAGAGCTCATCTAGGCTCTGCACATAAAGGCTCTGCACTGGCTGTTATCTGAGCCTACTTCCTGACCTGCTTTCCTGGTAATGATCTGCTCAGAGCCATCAGGTGGGCAGCTGACTGACCTGTTCCATGGGTAGATCTAGGGAATGTGAATGCTATGGGCCTCCCCAGTGAAGAATTCCCGGCCCTTTAGACATGAATGCATCCCAACTAAGATAAATCCAAAGATGGCAAGATGCCATCTTGCCTTTTCCTAAGATGGCCACCTAGGAGCAGATCTCACTTGCCACACACCCTCCCCCCCAACTGTTATTCTTACACTCTGATAGCTACAATACAATGAGTGTTCCTGTAGGAAAGCCAGCCAGAGCCAAAAACCATTAGCCAAGTAAATCTGCTGGGGGAAAAAAAATATCAAGCATTCCAGAAAGATTAGCACACGCAGTCCCCAGCGTCCGAGGGAGTTGTGCTCCAAAAGATAGTCTCAAAAGTTGGAACATGGAAAAAACAATCTCTCCCAGAAACAAGGTTATATATGGTGGGTTTGAAACAGAGGCCAGTACACCAGGCTGTCTTACCCGATAAGTCCAGCCTTGCCTGGCTCCCTGACTCGACCCCCCCACTTTTTCCACTTCATTCTCAGCATTCTGGCCATGTTTCTGATAAAATACAATTTGGGGAAACTGGTCAACATTTCTTGTTCTCTCAGAGTTCTACCTTCTCAGCAGGGCTGGTCCTCTACACACCTCTGCTGCTTCCCCATTCACAGGGCTGCTGGCTCTGACCTGGGTACTGTCATCATTCTGTACTGTCTCTGATCTGGTATTCCTCAGCTCCTTCCAGACTGCCCATGTAGTCAGAGGTGTACTCAGACTGCCTCCTGTCTCTACCCCACCCTAGCTGCCTAAGCTCTCAGGAGCAGGTACCAAGCTTCAGCAGAGAACTTGTACCAGTAGGTCCTCCAAGATTTGTAGATCTGTGAATCTTTCCTACACACACACACATATATATCTCATATATATATATGAAAAGAAAGTATTCAGATGGCCACAGGAACACCAGAGTTGGGGCCAGAATCGGGTCCCAGGGGAAATAGAGTGAGGTAGGCAACCTGGAGCTAACTCTTTTTTTTGTAGTTGTTGTTGTTTGTATGTTTTATTTTGTTTTTTCGAGACAGGGTTTCTCTCTAGCTTGGAAGCCTGTCCTAGAACTAGCTTTGTAGACCAGGCTGGCCTCAAACTCACAGAGATCCACCTGCCTCTGCCTCCCAAGTGCTGGGATTAAAGGCGTGTGCCACTGCCACCTGGCTAGAGCTAACTCTTTAGATCATGCCTTTAAAAATTCATGATAGATGGGAGCCTACCTCTATTCCCCTGGGCTTTCCCAGAGGACACGGACTGGGTGCTGTCTCATGCTGGACGCTGTCCCAAGATCCCCAGGACCAGTACTCAGTGGATAGGATGGAATGTCCATTTTTACTTTTTCAGATTTGACCTCCAAACTCCCATCCTTTCTGAACATACTTACCTGGGGTCAAAGTTGGCAATAGTTCTTAGGGAATGGGGGTCAGTGAGCAACTGTTCCAGATGTGCCTGCAGCTGGAGGAAGTGGGGCCGACGGGCCCTGTCATAAGCCCAGCAGTTCTTCATGAGTTCATATAGAGGGGCAGGGCAGTCCACAGGAGGGGGCAACCGGTACCCATCTTCGATGCTTTTCATCACCTGTAGCAGGAGACAGGGAGGGATGCCTAGGTGAGAAGCTACATCCACCAGGAAATCACACGAAATTATTGAGCCCAAAGCTCAAAGCTGACCAGGGTAGATGCAGTGAACAAAGAAGTAACAGAGAAGGGGCCACAGGAAACACTGCCCAAAAATTAGAGTTGGAAGGAAATAATTACAGGAAAAGAGCATGTTAAGGAATTGAGAAGAGACAGGAGGTGTGTCAGGCTTGACACGGGCAAACAGCCCAGGGTTACCTCTTGATTGCTCATCTCCCCATAGGGCTTGTCACCAAAACTCAGCACCTCCCACATCACAATCCCAAAGCTCCACACATCGCTGGCGGTGGTGAAGATCCGATGGGCAATAGCTTCTGGGGCTGTCCAACGGATGGGGATCTTTCCTCCCTAAGAAGGCATGGCACGAGAGTGATGTTTCAGGGCACGGACGAGTGCAAAACTGTGGGGAGGAGATCGGGTCTCATGCTTGCACATGGGTCACCAAATGAATTGTGCATGTGAGCGTGGAGGGGGCTCTGACCTGGGTTTCATAGGTGCCGTCAAAGTCGTCCAAGAGGCGGGTTAAGCCAAAGTCAGACACTTTGCAGCACAAGTTCTGATTCACCAAGATATTCCTGGCAGCCAGGTCTCTATGGACATAATTGTGCCCACTGAGGTAGTTCATGCCGGATGCTATGCCCAGCAGCATAGCCACTAGCTGACCAGGTGCTAGCTGGTCCTCCCGCTCCTGTAGTAGGATTAATGTAAACATCAGAGGGGTCATGGGGCTCTGTGGTGTGACCCCTTCCGAGCTGGCCCTCTGCCTCTCTCACCTTTAGAAAGGCGTCCAGGGCTCCATTCTCCATAAACTCTGTGATGATCATGATGGGCTTTCCTGAGAGACAGTGCGTGCATCACACCCAGGCCCAGGTTTCCTCTCTTTGGAATCTCACCCCACCCCACCATTACTCCACTCCTCTCCCTCCCCCGACATTCTATTCCAGGTCCTGGGGATGACTGCATACTTTTTGTGATGACACCTTCGAGGCGTAGAATGTGTGGGTGGTTGAACTGGCCCATGATAGTTGCTTCTCGAAGGAAATTCCACCACTGGCCATCTGGAGATGTGTCTTTCAAGGTCTTAATGGCCACAGTCTTACAGTCTTGGCTGGGGAGTCTCAGGGCTCCCCGATACACTTCCCCAAATTCTCCTAGGTGGGATGAAAATAAGGTTGTGGCCTGATGCAGTCAGTTCTAGGTTCTCCTCACTAGAAATCTGAGGAAGGACAGAGCTTAGGTGGCCCCTCTGGAGAAGCAACAGTCTGGCGCCAACCTGGGACTGTGCAACCTAGTCACTACTGTCTGCCACGGCTAGCATGCAACCTTGGCTCATGCTAACTAAGTAAGTATGAGGTACATGCAGAGGGACCGAGCTGTGTTTATGAAGCACAAGCTAGTCCAGGCCTAGTGCCCAAGTAACAGGAGGCCTGCCTGTTTCCTGGGAGTGCGCTCCCGGTCACAGTGCTGGCTTAGCTGGCATCATTGACAAGGACACTGCCAAGCTTTGTTCTCTGTTGAGATCTATTTTCCCTGGTGACCCAGGGGATTGGGGCAGCCCAAGGACACTGGGCCCCTGGTGCAATGGAATGCTCACTCTGAATCTCTCCTACTTTGGGGAAACTTCTGAGAACAACCTGCACCTTGGCATGGTGGTGACGCCTCTATGGGTAGAGATGATGTGTTTAACATTCTTTATCAGAAACCCCATAACCGCAGAGCAAAGTGTGTAGGAGGCAGAGGCTGCTCCAGGGCATAGCAGCTCAAGGAGGATACAGGATACAGCAGGCATGGGCGCATCTGGGAACTCAGGCTTGAAGAAAGGAACCTGCTGGCAGCCATGTGCTACCCCACAGAGGGGAACAGCTGGGGTCACAGCAGGACTTACCTTCCCCTATGACAGTGTCCACAATCAGACAGGCTGGGTCCAGTTCCTGAGCAAAGTCTAAGGCTCCCTGTGCAGGGTCCTCATAGGCCTGGAGGTCCACGTAGGGTTTTAGCCAAAGCTTGTCCTCTAGGGAGGACAAGAGGGCTTAGCGCTGCAACATATACTTCAGGGATCGGGGCGTGGGGGGCTAGGGAGAAGGGCAGACAGCTGAGCCCGTTCTTAGTGGTTCTCTGCTCTCTGAGGTGAGCCTGGCTTTAAGCTCAAGTAGACAAAATCTCTATTCTTAGCAATGAAGCCTGCACATCCCAACGTGTTTCTTGTCTATGCTCCAAGCTCCTCTGTCCTACCATTCAGGGTCCATAGTGGTGACCAGAATTCAGACGCTGTTACCCAATCTTCCTATGACTTGGGTCCCAGCTTCTGACCCCATGCTGTCCAAGTCACTCACACCTCATTCACTCCCAGATGAAGCCTCCCTTCCATGCCAGCTACTGAAATAGACAGCAGACCTTTCCCTCTAATGAGGTGACAAGCAAGAAGCCCACATGCCTCAGAGGACTTTAACCCCTTCCTGCCTGCTCTCAGCTCACAGACCTGGCTACCAAGATGGAGAACACTGCCCAGA